ACTTGGGAGGGGAAGTGAAATTTGGGCCTCGCCTCCAAACACTTTAATTAATAGTCAGGATAGTGAGACTTTAATCAAATGTCATGGAAGAAGCAAAACAGATGCATTTGGAGAATCTCATATGGCAACTGCTAGTCATCGCCGATGTTTGCAGTTCTTAGCCCCAATGCTGTTTTCAAATCCCCTGTGTTTTGTCTGACTTTGGAGTAAACATGGCAAATTCCTAACTGCAAAAATATTTTCAAAACAATATAATGATTTGAGAAAGGCAATGGTTTCTGATTTTTGCTGCTCTCCTCCACGCTCCCTGCTGGAGACACCCATAAGTACCCGGTGCCAACCACCCTTGCCGTCTGCATCCCTACACACGGTCACGTTTCCCCTTTTCTGACTCCCCATCTGGAAGCTCATTTTGTCCTCGCCCCCAGGGGCTTTTCCACAGTTTTCCAGCTCTGGCTTTTGGGACCAGCAAGTTGGCTGACCTCAGAGGCTGGAGATGAGCTTCCTACAAGAGCAGCCAGGTTTCTGAACCAGCACTCCATCTTTCTTCCCATTTTTCTTAAGTTTTCATGCACTGAGATGAATTGTGTGAGTCATTTCCTTGTGCGAGCTGTTGCCCTCCTTGCTGCTTTTGTGAAATGCAGGCACCCAACGCAGATGTGTTTTATTTCCACGTAATGCAGTTTTGCTACTTGTTTCTTTATGATGTTTTTCTGGTCAGCTTTCTGTGTTGGTTTTCTCTCTTCTCCATCCCCTGCCACCGCTTTTCCTTATCTCTCCCTTAGGTGCCCCACCTGCCCCTTTGTAACTGCTGTTGCTCGGGCTCATGGCTGCTATGTTGCCATCTGCATTGAAGTGGCCAGGAGGGACGCACACCTTATTCCTCAACAGTTCCTGCAGCTTCTCCACATAGGAAAGCAAAGATTCAATAATATTTTTCCAACAGGAGTTACTTGCTGCTCAGGCAAGAGAGGGATCTGGAAGTTTGGTGGAACCTGATAAAACAGAAGGAGAAGTAGACAGGACATGGCAAGACGAGTCTTTGGCACCAGCCATGGGAATTGTTTGTACCCTCTCCAAGCCAGCAAAATTTTATGGAGAAAGTTGGTGTTGGAGCATGATCATGAAAAATATTTGGGGGGGGGGGGAGGGGGTAAAAACAAAACAACCAGGTAAATATTTTCCTGTGGGCTCGGCTCCCTGAACTGAGTCCCTGCGCAAGTCTCCCTGGGTGCACTGCCTGTGCCTGGCTGTGTTTCTTACCAGGAGGTATGTGCAGAACAGGCACAACTCACGAGTCTCATCCCTCCCGTGCTCCTGCTCTCTCTGTCTCTTGAGCTGTTGTGCTCTTCACATGCAGAGCCGCCTACCTATCTGCACGTACATCTGCACGTAGCGCAGCTGGGACTCGGGCTCACTGAAAGCCGCTACTGCTATTCATATAATTAATAACCGTGGCCTTTCCATGAAAAGGAGTATCTTTTTTCAGTGAATTACAACATATAATGATGTTTGTAGGAAAAAGACTGCTGAGTATCTCATGCTGAAGGAAGCCCGAGCTTCCTATTTATGACTTTGTGAGATCAATAAATAACTCCATTACAAGCACAATTGTAATGGCAGATGGCTTCAGCCTGTGGGACACCAGCTGAATTCAGTAATGAAATAACAAAAGTCATAATGGTCCCATCGAGGCTCATGGATGGAGAGCATCACCGTCCTCCCACATCAGCTCAGTGACGGCAGTGTGGCGGCATCGATGGTGTGACGTTATTTACAAAAAAGAAGGACGGGTGAATGCTTTCATAGTGTCCTAAAACCCCTTAAAATGCCTCCAGTCCAAGTATCTTCACAGAACAAATTGTTTCATACCTTCTATTATGGAAACCTCTTCGTTAATGTTTGAGCAATAAAGAAAACAGCAGCTGTTAGCATAATTTCCCCCCTGAGGCCAGTTGTCCTCAGGTAAAACAAATCCCAACTAATGTACCAGTGAGGCCAGGTATATTAGACAACACGGACCCTCGCAATGCAGAGATCTCCTTCCATGTCTGTCACCAGCACCGAACCCTGACCGCAGCAGGGTAAGCAGCAGCCTCCTTGCAGGGGGAGGTTTGGTGGCTGTCCCCCAGCAGCAGCCTGTATTTTGTTTGTGGAGTGCTCGAGCCCGGGGCTGGCCCCGCTCCTCAGGCAGGGCCATCATGGCAGCCTCTATCAAGGGCAGTCTTCTGAGGCGGCTCCTGCCTCCCTTCTATTTATTACTCCCTCAATTACAAACCAGATGTCGAGGGAAGACTCAAAAGTCAACTTTATTTGAATTTTGAAATATAAAAAACTTGACCACAATGACTTTTTTTTTGTGGTGGGCAGGGGACACATGAAGGAGAAAAATGTCCTTTAATCCTTTGCTTATAGTCCTTTTCTATTTTATTTTTAACTCTTATTTTTTAAAGCTGTGGTTATTTTTTTCTCTTATTAAGTGGCTAAAGGCACTTCTCCCTCTTTCTGCCCCCAGAAGAGTTTTTAGCCTTTTCTCCGAGAACCAGTCCTCACCCGGGACCTTCTTTCTCCCTCCCAGCCCACAGGGCTGCCATACATTCCTCTCCCTGTTTATGTCTGAGGAAACACCAAACGCAGCTGCCCTGTCGCTCAGTGACGATTTGCTTGTCCCCAGCCTACCACAGGACGTGAGGCAAGGTGCCAGAGCCTGGTGGGTTTGGGTTTGGGCAGGCGGCAGAGCGGTGCCCACCTCACGGCCGGGCTGCTGGGCCTGCCTGTGGGTGCTGGCACCTCAGGTGGCGTCGCCTCAGCTGCCTCAGGTACAAGGCGCCAGCACCGTGTGCTGGAACTCACTGCCATAATTTGGCTGTTTGTGGTTTGCTGCTTTCCTTCCTCAGGAGGTTGCTTTGGCCATCGCTGAACCTGGCTTCTGAATCCCAGTAAGGCCTGAATACGGCCCAGTTTGGTCAGGGAAGTCGTGAGCAGGGGTGAAAGTGCAGCCACACTGAAGGGGAAGCCCCTGCCAAGGGGAGGAAGAGCAGCAGCATCCAGCTCCCTTCTGCTTCCTAGACACACCTGCACTTATTTACACAGGTCAGGAAGGAGGGCTGGGGTCTGAGGAGGTGAAAATTTAAGAGAGAAAATGGCCTCCTTGCGCTCTCAGCCCTGCCGGCTCCCCAGGAGCGCCTGTGTCCTTTCTGCTCATTAGCCATTGCATCTTTCTGCTAGAAGTTTGATTTCCTATTAACTGTGGGATTAACCCTTTGGCTAATCCAAGGTCATCTGAGGATGACTCTTATGTAAGCAGCCAATACATTCGATGAGGTCTAACCTAGTTCTATCAGACTCCAGAGAACACGGTGTATGGCCAGGAGACCTGCCACTTCTCCCGACAGCATTCAGCTGCTTGCTTAAGAAAGCCTTCACCTCACATGAATTTCTCTCATGTATGATGTTCAGGTGGACTGGGTGTCGCTCTCTCAGCAGTGTGATGGGACCAGTGGAATTTAATGTTAGGGGGAAAAAAATCCTGCAAATTCCCCCAGGATTTGTGTGTGCTTGCATGTGCAAAATTGTTAAATATCCTTATAAATCATCTGAATGTCTTAACTGAAAATTTTGGAAGGAAAAAAAGCTGAGGCCAGGAGTATAAAGCCATGTGACAATTCAGAAAGCCTAGAAGCTCACAGAGCCCTGAGTAACCAGGGTCACCAGGACCAAATTAACTTGTGGTTGGGTGGTGCAAAATACTCTGAAGAGAAATATTAAATGGGAGCCAAGGACTGGAGAAGGGGCAGGGTAGGGGCAATAGGTTTATTGAGGTAAACCCAGGCATGAATCCCAAAGCAGTTTTACCAATGTCTGTTCAAGACCCCTGGGAAGTGGCACATGTTGCAGTGAGGCCATCGATGGGATGCTGGGTTCTTCACTTCTGGCCCCACCTCACAAACCAATAGTGCAACAGAGTCAGACTCAGACAAGGAGCTACAAGAGCATGTGGGGTTCGGACGCCTTCCACGCTGCGGGAAGGAGCAGAGGGTGGCGAGGGGCTGGGGCTGGAGCAGTGGTTCAGGAGGGGAGGCTCTGAAGTGCCCCGCAACCTTCTCACAGCCCCTGGGCCGCGTCTGGCCTGGCTGCTGAGGGCCTGGGGGAGCTCCCTGGCACAGCTCCAGCCTGCAGCTTGAAGCGCTGGAAAATGGCCAAGGTCCCAGCAAATGCTCTCCGTGCACCTGCTGCCCTGCCAGCACGTGGTGCTCCCAGGTAGGAAAAGGCACTGCGAGGTTCCTCGCCCCTTAGGGCAGGGGCTGAGCTGGGCATTCCCACCACAGCCTTCTGCAGTGCGACCAAGGCTAACAGAACACTGAAAGGAAGGAGCGCGGCTTTGCAAATTGACTTATTTACGTTTTGCTTGGAGGAACAGCGTAACACAGTGGCTCTGTAAGCAGGGATACAGTAATTCAGTGAGAAACCGAGTTGGAAAGTCCCAGTTACAAAGGTCAACCGGGCATTAGGAAAATTCATGGACTGGGGAGCGACCTAGCTGCGCTGCAGCACGGCTCATTGCTCCCAGTCACAGTGCTCTGTAGTAACGAGGGGCGATCTCTGGCTCGCAGGCTGTAACCTCATCCAAAATTCAGCGCAGCGGTGAAAGCGGAGGGAAGCGGGAGAGGAGCGCGGGGCCAAGCACGCTCAGGGATCTGCTGCGGGGCTCAGCGGGGCGCTCCGGCGGCTCCCAGCGCCCCGCTCCCCCGCAGCCCGCTCCGTCGGGGCTCGGGGCTCGGCCGCGCAGCTCAGCTCCGAGCGGCACGGGCGGCCCCGCTCCCCCCCGACCCCGCATCAGCCTCGACGGGGCGATGCCGGAGGGGGGGCAGCCCGGCCGGGCCCTGCCGCCGCCTCCTCCCCCGCGGCCGCCAGCGCCGGCCCCAGCCCCTCATTGGCCGCCGGCGCCGGAGGGAGGAGGGCGGCCGGGCGGGAGCGGGCGCCGGGGGTATAAAGGCCGGGCGGGCCCTGCGCGCCGCGCTCCCTGCAGCCCTGCCGGCCCCGCCATGCCGCGCGGCTTCCTCGTCAAGCGCAGCCGGCGCCCCGGCGGCTCCTACCGGGCGCGCCCTCGGGAGCGGGACCGGGAGCGGGACCCGGACCCGCCGCCACCGCCCGCCGCAGCCGCCGGGGGAAGCCCCGCCGCCCGGCAAGGGGCGGAGGAGGAGGAGGAGGGCGAGGAGGAGGAGGGCGCCGCCGCCTGCCCCGCGCCCGCACCCGCCGCGGCGACCTGGAGCCCCGGCGGCGGGGGCCCGCTGCGAGCCCCGGCGGAGGGAGCGGGCGCCTGGGGGGCGGCGGGGCCGTGCAGCGCGGCGGGGCCGCGGGCGGCGTTCTTCGAGCGGTGCCTCAGCTCCCCGGCGTCCGCGGAGTCCTTCCCGCTGGCCGCCTCCTTCCCGCCGGCCGAGAAGCTGCTGCTGCAGCCCCGCACGCCGCTGCCCGCCCCGCCGCCGCCGCCGCCCGTCCCGCAGCCCCCGCCGCTGCCGCCGCCGCCGCCGCCGGGCCCGGCGCTGAAGCGGCCGTCGAGGGCCAAGGCGCCCGGCAAGAAGGCGAAGGCCACGCGGAAGCTGAGCTTCGCCGACGAGGTGACCACCTCGCCCGTGCTGGGGCTGCGCATCAAGGAGGAGGGCCCCGAGGGGCGGCCGGGGCCGGGGCCGCCGCCGTCGGGGGGGCGCACGCCGCTGGGCGAGTTCATCTGCCAGCTGTGCAAGGAGCACTACGCCGACCCGCTGGCGCTGGCCCAGCACCGCTGCTCCCGCATCGTACGCGTCGAGTACCGCTGCCCCGAGTGCCACAAGATCTTCAGCTGCCCCGCCAACCTGGCCTCGCACCGCCGCTGGCACAAGCCGCGGCCCGGCCCCAGCGCCGACGGCTCCTCCGCCGCCGCCGCCGCCCCGCCGGGCAAGGAGAACAGCCCCGAGCGGCGGCCCCGCGGCCCCGCCGCCGCCCCCCCCCCCGCCGCCGCCGCCGCCGCTTCCCCGTCAGCACCGCGGCGGCGCGGACAGCGCCGGCGGAGCCCCGGCCCCGGCCCCCGGCGGCCCCGGCCCCGTCGGGGAGGCGTTCGCCTGCCCCTGCTGCCAGAAGCGCTTCCGACGGCAGGCCTACCTCCGCAAGCACCTGGGCACCCACGGCGCGGCGCGGCCAGCAGCCTTCGGGCCGCCGGAGCGCGGGCAGCTCGCCTTCGCCTGCCACCTCTGCGGCGCCCGCTTCCCCTCGGCGGACATCAGGGACAAGCACCGGCTGTGGCACGCCGTGCGGGAGGAGCTGCTGCTGCCGCCGCCGCCGCCGCCTCCGGCCGCCGGGCAGCCCGAGGGCGGCGGGGCGGCGGCGGCGGGGGGCGGCGAGCGGCAGGGCTTCCCCTGCAAGCACTGCCCCGCCACCTTCTTCAGCGCGCCGGGGCTGGCGCGGCACGCCACCAAGTGCCACCCGCCCGAGGGCAGGCAGGTCCTGCTGCTCCAGGTGCCCGTCCGGCCGGGCTGCTAGCCCCCCGCGGCCGCCCCCGATGGGACCCCGTCGCCCGACGGCCCGGGCGAGCGCCGAGCGAGTCCCGTCCACGCTGTAATTCCTATGGAAAGTCGCGCTGGGTGCGCACACGGCCACCGAGGCGAAGCCGCCTGCGGACCCCCAAGCTCTGCCCTCCGCCCCGGCCCCTCCGGGCTGCCCCGGGGCGCTGGGGGGCGGCGGGTGCCCGCTGAACGCGCCGCCCCCGGGGCCCGGGTCAGCAGGAGTCCAGCTGTACATAGGATATTTAAAGAGAGGAATTATTATTATTATTATTATTTTTCGTGAGAAAAGGAGCCTGACCTAGTTACCTTGTTTTCATAGCCTTCCCCCCCCACACCCCAAGCTCGAACTTTTAAGTTCTCGTGCAGTGTTTCGTTTGCCGTACTCTGTGCTAAAATAGTCGCGAAGGTAAATGTTCATGCTAAGTCGGTGTCAGCCCTGTAATAGCTAGCGAAACGTGCGGGAACCCGGTCGTGCTGTCCGCTTACCGAAGGCGAGGCGCCCTGCCCCAGCTCGGTGCACGTCCCCGCTTCCCACGCGTGTTTTTTGGGGGCCCTGCGGGCGGCTCCAGCCCCTTGGGGGGTGCCCCGCGGCCGGGGGGACCCCTGGGCGCCGCTCCCCGGCCCGGCCAAGCCACCCTCTGCGTTTTCCCCCCGGCTTCAGCGGCGTCCCGGCCCAACGCTTTGCAATTCTGTGCACCTTGCCAGCTACGGACCTTTCAGGCTTTATTTATTTGGTCGTCTGTTTATTTATTTTCACGCGGGAGTGCTCGTTTCCGAATGCGATAGCGGGTGAGGCCAAAAAGGACGAGCGAATTCAATAAATGATTTAAAACGAAGCTAACGCCTTTCTTGAATTCAGCAGGGGAAAAGCGGGTTGCTTGGTGGTTCCCGAAGAAACAAACTGATCCCAGCCCCAGCCTTTGTTAGAGCACGCAGAATATTACCATCTTTTCATTAGCATCCTCTAACACAGCTATTTCTCTAGGTTTAGATTTCGTTACACCCAACAAAAGGCTCGCGTACATCTTGCCCGAAGGCCGAAAGCAAGCGAGTGTTTTATTTCAAACGTGCTCCGCTGACTTCCCAGTGTTGGTTGCAGGACCTGGAAAATACGAATTAGTGCGGTGTAACCTGCAGCTGCTGATGTTTGCTGCCTGGCAGAGGCTAAACTTGCAGCTCGCTATTCTCCCCCACCAGAAATAAAGCATCTCATTTTAAGTAGGGTGTTTTTCAATCATTTGCCGGTAACTGAGGTGCAGATAGCAGTGCCCGTTTATGCCACTCACTGAGTTCTCCCACGGAGAAGGTCACTGTGCTTTTTAAAAACATCACCCTCCTGTCTCTGCTCATATGGTCAAAGAAACAGGGCTACAGATGGCATTTACCTGAGCTGGGGACAAGTTTCTGATACAGCATCCTTGCAGCGGACGGGGAGAGCTCCCAAGAACTAGTTGACACACCAAGCTTTTAATACGAATGAAAACCAAGCCGTGTATCGCACTTAACTGCTCCACGTATAATTTGCTTTCCTTTTACAAATTGCAGTAGGAATCTAATCACTGAGGTGAATGACCAATATACAAAAGGTGGTAAGAATAATTTTATTGTATTATTAAATAGCATGTTTTCTCTTCAACCATTACAAATTTGTAGATACTACATGAATGACAATACATAATTTATATTTTTATTGTTGCCCATATCATATGATATATTTACACATGCAGTTAGTACGGATGTCATGCTACATTTTGTTAACAGCATCTTGTTGTTTGCCAGACTCAAAATGTGAGCATTTCATCTGCTGTAGGAAAATATCTCTGGATGGTTGGAATGCGTGTACTAACCTGCACTTACAGGGTTGGAATCATCAGCATTGCAGGTCAGCCTCCTGGAGCATGTTCCCTTTTCTTCCTTAGTACACAGCATCAGAGCAACGAATTTGTAACAGGAAAGTGCTTTTTTTTTTTTTAAATGTAAGAAACAATAATATACATCTAGACCCAGCAGCCCGGTGATAAAGGCTAAAAAACATGAGACTCAATGGCATTTACTATTGATAACACTTCCAAAAGCAAACATTATAAAAATATTTGGAAGCCAAGCATAAGTAGAATTTCAGCACAGTGATTTTTTTTTCTTTTTTCATTTTTTTTTCTTTTTTTTTTCTTCCTTTTTTTTCTGGCATAGATTATGGCACCACCTGCACAGTTAAGAAATGATACATTGCTTTGTGAAGAAAGAATTGGTGCTACTGGCAAGTTATTTTGTTTGGACACTGTAATGCTTGAAAGGCTGTTTAAGTATTTTATTCTTAACATAAATAGTCTGTACACAGCCTCTGCATTAACATTGTGACATCTGACAAAGACTTTACAAATGCAACTTCAATTTAAAATTGTACATTCATTTTCAAATTGTACATATTTCTTTCTTTGTTACAGAGAAAATTGCAGGTGGGGCACAATAAATATAGTGTAATCAAACTGCAGTCTCCAATTCCGTATGTCACTCAAGATCAACCAGAGTTAAAAATGACTACTGGTAAGATATCGTAATCATCCAGGAAGGTAAGAGGTGCAGAGGACAAACTGCACTGAAAAAAAAAAAAAAAAAGGGAAGGGGAGAAAAAAAAAAGGCAGCCTGGAGTTTGATTAAAAACAAAAACAAAAACAACTGAATGCTAAAATATTAAAGTAAAATTCCAGTGTCACTGTTTAAAATAAACATACAGAAAAAGGGTATGCAGGGAATGGGGCACACACACACTAGAGATGTTATCCTTCAGCTGAAAGCTGCGAGTCATAGGAAGGGTTGCTGACGGCTGGTTACTAGAAAGCTGCAGGCATCTCAACACTTAGGACTTGTTGGCCGAGCCAGAGGAGCGGCGCAGTTTCATGGACATTCGGCTCTTGCTAGTCCGAGGAGACATTGGAGAGGCTAAGTCTGTTCCATCCACCTGTGCTGTTGCTGCTGCTGGAGTTTCTCCCGGCTGAGTCTCTGGGCAGAAGCCTGCAGAGGACAGCAAGAACCAAACCCATCAGTGCTGCCGTCCACACGTGCAGCATGTGAATCTATACACAGAAGGGGCAGGTAGGAATTTCAGTGCTGTTGTCAAGCCCACAGCATATACTAGCCCTTTACCAGCTGTGGGTGATTGCACCGCACACGGAGCTAGCGACTGCCACAAAATCATCTCTAGAGAAAAGATGATGCCAGAAACCACCGAGCTGCAAGACTGCAGAGAACCCTCGGCGACTGAAACAGCACTGAGGTGGGTAGCGTCATCCTGCTAGCCAGGAGAACCGACCCCTCCAGTTCCCTGGTAGGGATGGGGAGTGATTATTCATGCCATCACCCAGAAGAATCCCGTCTATAATGAGAACATGAAGGGTAACGGCTCACTGCGCATGAAGGGAGTTCTGGGAATGCAGCTGAAAAGGTGGAGTGAATTGGGGTGAACTGGGAGAGCAACACATCTCCTCCCATCTAAACGTTAGTCAGTGCTTCAGAAGGCCAATTCCTACAGGGCCCACAAGGCAGAAGCTTGAACAGATCGTACTAAGCGGATGCACTACGCATCCCAATTTCTTTGTAAAAGGAACAAGATGAATTTGAGATAACGGCATGGCATTTGTCACCCAGCACCCAAAGCTACTCTGCGGTGGGCCCTGAGTCCTCACCACGAGAGCCCTTCCCTTACATACAGCCCAGCAGGACCCTCTGCCTCTGGTCAGCCTCCACGGAGGTACAGAAGGGAAAGGAGGCAACGTGCAATCTAAATTACGTCCTCCTTCCTGGGTGCAGAACTTTAACACTATGCACTCGCACGCACAACTACCAAACTGCATTTTAATTGGCCGTTTGCAGAGACCGACAGGCTGATTGAACCCAATTACCTCAGTTGCCACTAATCACTTTTGAGCTGTATGAATTACGGGCAGAAGCTTAGTCCTGCAGAAGTCAATGGGAAAACCCCTGCTGACTTCGGTAAGCCAGAATATCACTTGCTATTTCTTCCACATCACACTATTACTGGTAATAATTTAAAATAATAGTGCAATAATCTGAACTGGAGATCTCGCTCCCTCAGTTAACATTTCATATATAATGGGCACAAAAAACATTCAAAACCGAGCAGATTTCATTTGAAAGACTCATCTAAAATAAAATCCCAGGTCATCAGGTAAGGAGTCTAAGAGTACATCTAAAACACTGTCATAAACCTAAAGGATTTAGCGACCTGGATGTCCTCCTTGCCCGGTCCGTCATCTGCCTGCTCCAGAGGGACGGCCCAATACTTTCTGTCTTTTTCAAACCGACATGAGCCATTGAAGTGACAGGGAGGAAAAAGGGCTGTTATTTGTTCCCCAGCTGGTGACAGTAATTCTGTTCATGAACTAGGTACTTCATTGCCAAACAATCTGGAAAAGCATGATAATGCCTGACTCACTGTGCCTTATAAAAAAAGGCAAGCAGGGAAACATGCAGTCTCATTTTCTGAAATTCTATCTTGTTCTAATTTTACAAGGAATTAAAGCATTTCAAATGGTGGAAGATAGAGAATAGAAAATAACCGTTGTTGTTTTGCACAGCATACCATTCACAGCTAGCGTGAAAGACCTTCCGTTTCAAGCCTTTGCCCTTTACCTTGATGTGGCCAATGCTTTCTAGTGGAGGTTTTGGAAGGAGAAGAAATATCACAGCATTTCTTTCTTTGTTGAGAATGAAGAAGTGATGAGGAAGGAGAAGTGGAAAGAAGTGAGGAAGGGGGAGGAGAGAAGATAAAAGATAACAGGTGTGAGACATGAGACACGAACCGCAAAGATTGAAGGGTATTAACAGATGAGCACAGAAAACAGAATTTTGAATTTCATTATGTAATTGCTGCTCATGCTACAGGTTAAAGAGAATGATGAGTTAGTTATGTGCAATGAAGCAACAGCTCTGAAATCCAGCGTCATACTTACCAACTAAGCATTACAAGAAAAAAAGAAGAGAGAGAGAAAGAAAAGAATTCTATGACATTATCCAGATCCAGCAACCTTATTTCTAGCAACCAAAATACATCCTAAACATTGCCTGAAACGCTTTCTTAAAGTCTGTGAAAACAGTTCAATAGTCACACACATACACACAATCAAGAAGGAAAAACAAATGGCAATTTGATATATGGCTTCTGCTCCCCAGCTGTTTCACATTTTTACGTATGCAGCAATTATAGCCAGTCTTAACACAAGACTGCTGAAATCACATAAAGAAAAAAACATTGCATTTAAACTTGTTAGTCTGAGTCAAAGACTAAAGCCATACTGTGAAATTTTATCAAATGCTGGATAAAGAAAACCTTAAAACCCCAACTATTTTAATTAAGGCACTATTCCAGTCATATCTTTAAATTTTGCTTATAATTTCTGCAGACAGACATCAGGAAGCACAGATTCACATCTAATCCCATTTTAAAAAACTGATGTAGAGCTATTGAAGAACAGAAGTCATATGAAGTGATTTTCACATCTGAACATATCACACCAGAAGAGTGAAGAATAATGGCACTTAAAATATATTTAGTCTGGCAGCAATCAACAGGCTGATTAATAACTCAATTTCTTTAGATTTTATATATATGTATCTATATATACATACATACGCACAGACACACGTGGATATTGTATGTGATTATATAAATTTTGCAGGTTTTGTTTCCCCTTCAGTTTAAAATCTTCAGTGTAGAATGCTGTATCTTTATATCTTTATGCAGTGAAATGTTTAGTTATCCAAACTAAAAAAATAGGGTTAAATATGGAAGCCTTATTGTCAATTGACCTGGAACAAGAAAGTTCAATTCAAATAAACAAAATAAACATGTTAGCATTTTCAAAAATTTGAAAAATGTCAGAAAGTGATCCATTTTTTCCTTCTCTTAGGCTTGACAACTGACCAGGCTAGCATGAAGCAATTTGATCAGCTATGATAGTTTAGGACCATAACACAAAGCTGTTTCTGTTGTTTGTGAACAACAAAGTTGTTCAGCGAAGTTGAAATGGGACACTTTCTTACTCTGTTTGAAGGTTTTAGGATCTTCTAAAGATAGTATGTTGGTTATTTGCCTCAGAAATGAGTTATTTAAATGTAAAATGGCACCCTAACTACAAAGACTGTGTTAGAAGTGAACTGAGGTGGAGGGACCCAGGCGTACCACAGCACACCCGTTTGCATGACTCACCTCGCTCAACAATTCTGACTTTCAAAGAAGTAAAAATGTCACAGACCAGATGTCTGATAGGGTGCTGATATGCTGCTACCTGTTAAGACTTCTGCCTTTATCACACCAGTTGTCTGGAACAATGTTATCCTGAGTGCCATTTCTGAGAATGATGGCACAGGAAAATTTCACTTGTCTATGTTAATGCATTTTGATGGTTTTTTAATATACTTCAGCCTCCCATGTGGCCTCCGGGGAAGAGGGCAATCATTTTTGTACAGCTTCTACCCTTTGCCACTCAAACAAATACCGGTCCAAAGCTGGCCAAGCTATCAGTTATGCTCAGCAGAACTTTGCTTGAGTCAAGGCATTAAGTCAATAATTTTGGGAAAAGATGACAGGAAGCAAGAAGCAGATGCAGAGAAGAAGACTGCAGAAGCAGCTGCCAAGCAAGATGAGAAGCTGAGGAGGGTGGCGAGTGGCCTAAAGACCTGAGAGGCTGGAACTGGGTAGGAGAGAAAGAACTAAGAGCCAGACATGAGGAAAATGTACAGCAAGAAGTGGTTTATGGAGAATGAGCAGAAAAGCCAGTGTCCGATAAATCACAGAATGGTTTGGGTTGGAAGGGACTGTAAAGATCACCTGGGTCCAGCCACCTGCCATGGCCCAGGATACCTCCCACCAGATCAGGCTGCCCAAAGCCCCTCCAGCCTGCCCCTGAACATTTCCAGGGATGGCGCATCCACAGCCTCTCTGGGCAACCTGGTCCAGTGCCTCACCACCCGCTGAGTGAAGAATTTCTTCTGAATCTAGATCTACCCTCTTCTAGTTTAAAACCATTACTCCTTGTCCTAAATAAAGAATGCTCTTTAGAACCTGGCTTTAACCTACTAGATAAACCTATTCCTCTGTGTCATCAAATAGCTGTGAAGCCCACTGGCAAATTTCCAGTCTTTACACTAAGAAACCTTCAGGCAGAGGTAAGACAGTTCATTATTGCACTACTTCAGTTTGCAGAAGTTGGTGGTGGATCTAGAGGCTACAGCTTTGCTTACGAATCATACGGTGGTTAATTGGTATTAAGGAATTTCTCTTCTGCCCTATGCCTTAAACAAAACAAAAATGGAAGGACTTACACAAGAAAATGTTGTTACAAGACAATAGATCTGTAAGGTCAAACATTTGAAAACTAGGAAATGTCAGGATTAAAACTGCACATGCTGCTTTAATTTCATCACCTTGTACATATGAATGGAATTTATTTATTTTTTTTAAATTGGACAGTCATATTCCTTGCTTTTCAGTGGAAATGAATAAAGTTGATCTCTTTGGGTGTCCATCAGTCCTCACTGGATTTATCACTTTGAAGTGCTGAGGATCCGCAGCTTACTACAACCCAAGTGGTCAATGCACGGGCAACAGTTCAGAAATGCATAACATTTCAGCTTCAGTCATCCAATGTGGAATTTTTGGAAATTTTCATTAAGTTTTGTGGGTTTCCTCTGATCTGGAATGAAAGCATTTCTTCCTATGTTTAGACTGGAGAAGGAATAATGAGAAACTCTTCCCAGCCCTGCCAGACACACAGCCTTCAAACAACATTTCTAACTGCATTTCTGGTCACAAAGTTCAACCATCGCCACCAGGAGCGTTGCTTATCACCAGTGGTGCTTAGCACCATCAATCTAATATGCAAAGGGATAACAGGGCCAAAAAGATGAACAGATTCTCTGTTCCAAGTTACACAGCAAACAAACAGCAGATGGAGTTAAGATGCAGGCCATGGAACTTGAGATTTTCTTGTGCGAGGCTGAAGCACCACTACCTCTACATTGCTCCACTTCTCTGCCTGTAAGCTGGCATCCTCACTGACTTTGGGAGTGGGGCAGCAGGACTGGTCTGAACGCAGGCTTGAAAATGTAGGACGACTGTAGGGATCAAACAGTCTGCTGGCATCACAAGGAAAATGCTATGACCCTTTTTAACAAGGTTTACTATACTGAGGTCCTATTTTTAGTAACAAGAAAGGAAAAAAAAGATGACAGAAAAAAACAAAACCAAATCATCAGTACAATTTCAAACTCAGAATCTTAGCATCGAGGGGTCAATAAGCCCTTCAATATCATTGAGTTTGTCATTGACGGTTTCCTCAGCCTACTCTGGTGTCACAGAAGTCTGATTTACTCAATAGCTGTATAGCAGGAAATATTATTTTGTGGTTAACTCTACTTACCAGAGTCAGCACAAAGTAAAATTAGGAGCAGCAACAGAATTACATTCTGTGATTAAGCGGGGATATATCTCTTTTTTAAATAGAAAATAAGAAGAAGAAAAAAAAAAGCATACTTTCACTACATTAGTCAAGTTCCTAAACCTGGGAAGATGGACTTTTCAGGTATTTTAACAGGGCAACCTAGATATCCAGATAAAACAGCAGCAGCCACAATTACTTTGTATCAAGCAGCAGCCACTCTAAGGAAGGAAACAGCTTTTGCTGAGGACTGAAGCTTTCACAAAATACACCAGTCTGAGAAAATACAGTTGGTAACTGGATGGCATAGTCTCTATTTGCTGACTGTCATAGTTCAAGTGAAGAATCTGGCATGCTGAAAGCAGCCCATAGAGTCACACCAAAAAAATAAAATACAGTGCTTGTTGATGGGCTTTAGTAGCTTCGCAGTTTCTGTATATATCTTAGAAGAAGAAATTGTATATAGTATTTTAGAAAAATTAAACATACTTGACAACTATCAGTGTCAAGATCGTGATCCAACTAAACAATCAAATCTAAAATAAGGAAATATTTTCTAGTTGCTTGTGGTCTTTTTTTTTTCATAAAAAGCAGATATAAATAAAATACTATATAAAAAAGTAATTGCAACATATTTTTAGAAGCTGGTCAGAAATTTTCAGATGACACAGAGATGTCTTGCAGGTAGCCTGCAAGGTTTTGAGTCATCTTAGGGGTGATGAATGCGTGTAGATACCCAGGCAGGATTCCAGTGCCGATCCTATGTGTAATCCTGGCACCAGCAAGACCTCCGTACCTATCTTTCAATACAGCTGTCTGATGCATGTCTGGTAACATAGGGGTAATAAGTATTTTAGTAGTACATCAGGTGGATTCTTTTCTGGGATCACGGTCCTTCAAAGTTCAGGGCCATCTGCAGGCACCCTGCTCACAGGTCTGCCTTCACGAGAACTGGACACCAGTGGTTTGCCCACTAACCGAGCCCTGGGGAAGCCATTTTGGCAGATGACCGCAGTACTAACCTACACCTGCTTCAGGCTTTAGAGTCTGTGCTCTCCTGAGTCAGCTTGGAGGCAGAAGGTGCGGTGCTACTCCAGGCACTGTCCTGGAGCTGAGCACCAGAACACCTGAAGCCCTGGACCCAGTATAGGTCAGCCCTGAGGGGGGCGTTCCTGGTATCCCCATCTGCAACAACAACCCAGTCAGAGAGCTCTGGGGAAAGGCTCTTGGATGCTGGGTCACAGTGTGCTGCATCTATGTCCTAGGGAGATCCTGGCTGCTCCTGGCATGGATGTGTTGGGCAGCTCCACCACTCTCCACAAAGTTCAGAAGAGGATGTCCCTTAGGGTAGGAGGTGACGTTCTCTGCTATGTAAACACATGTGCATACACTCAAGTGTGAAATACATCACAAGTTCCTATTAATGAGATTCCTGCAGAAAATTAGTACCTGTGAGAGAAAGCTTAAGACTAAAATCAAGCTTTTCAGTAAGATTTTTTTTTTTCTAGATCAAGTTAGAGAAAGCAAGTATGACTTGGACAATTTTTAAGGGAATATAGGAATTGTCCCTGTTCTGTACTAGCTTGGTGCAAGGGAGAAAAGCAGCTCTGCTTCACCCCAAAAGAAGGAGCTAGGTGAACAGAGAATGATTTAGCCTGGAATGAGATTTCCAAAAGTGATCAGGCAGAACTGATAAGAGTGCACTAGAATATAGGATCTATACTAGTGATACGGAAGTGTCTGATGCTGAATGCTTGCTGAGCGCTTTAGGGAGGAAAAATGGTAAGGACTGGTACCCCTGCTTATTGCTTCCAATGTTTCTAGTTACAGATTTCTCCTATTCAAACGTTTTCATACATTAAATTAAATTACTATTTTTGTACTGATTTAATTAGTTTTAAATCACTGCCTTTTAATTTGTTTTCCCTTTGGTTTTGATGATTAGAACTGGCACAGCTATACACTTACACTTTAAAACTGCGCCTCATTTCCACTTACAGTTTATACCTTCACACAAAGCAATCTCAGTGTTTTAACATCTCTCAGTCACTCTTTCTGCAGTCCTAATCAGAACACTTTCATAATTTTAAAAATTATTTCTGCATATTTTTGCAATTAAGAAACAAATTTTGAGATAATGACTTACCGAATTAATTCTTACAAAATTTATTTTATTTAGATTTACAGCTTTTTCACAGTAGCACTTTGATTTATTTGACATTAAATAAAGTTTTCTGAACAAAGAATTTCAAGTGTTACACATTCTTCTTCTCCTTCTCTCCTACGTTATCACTTCAGAATGTCTTACAACATCAATGAAAGACAGTACAGGGTACAAAACACACCACTGCCATCCAGTACTACTTGTTCATGCTGAGAAACAAAGGTCAAAACAATAAAGTGTTACTCATTCAACAACTGTCTCTACCATTAGTTACCTTAATCCCAGAACCAGTGTTAGTGCTTCATGCAGACCTGAGGTTAGTAAAAGACTAAAACTTTAAGAAGATGTAGTGGTCATTTCTCAATCAGTGTGAAATTCTTTTTAGTGTGAACAAGAGCAACAAGGAAAGTTTGCATACAATTTGGTTACAAGCTTAGTGCTCTAGTAAAAGTAATAGGAACAAAGGGTTTTTTTGGACACTTTGTCTTACCTTCAGATAAACAGAACTGATATTTAATGATCTAAAAAGAGGGGAAATAAAATAAATGAAATAATCATAAGGAGTTCAAGGAATTTCAGAACAGGAAGGCCTTGAGTTACTCATTTTCTTACCGATTTTCTTATTAGTTAATGAAAATGCAGTATCCTCTTATAAACCAGGTATTTTAGCGGAAAGTAAAAATCACCTTAAAAACAACTTTGCAACTAACAACCTGGAAACAAAAGTGGTGATCGCAAGGCTCTCAGGCTTCTAGTTTCAAACTTTACATTCTAAAAATGAGAGCTTAAAACTTTCTTATAGGAAAAGTGTGCTTACATTAAAGAATTTATCTATTTGGACTAACCAACATAAAGAAGTACCAGCACTTTCAGATTTTATACAGGAGAATGCAATAAAATTCATTGTAAAAATATAGAATCTGCTTGCTATGTTCAAGTAGCTTGCCAAATCTTAATGCCAGACATTGGTCCATGATGCCAGACAACAGAATACGGAAATAAAGGCAACTTTGCCCAAGTTCTCAAAATAGGTGCATACAGTCTTTCAGATTAATGGTAACTCTTAATGATATGTAAACGTTTGAATTTTTATTCTTTATAAGTAAGGATACTGCATTTCAAGTAAGACTGTATAAAAACAGTTCTTGACTGTACTGCTTACCTGTGTCCGAGGGCAAATGGTGGTAAGGTGCTGGACAGAAAACCTGCGCAGCAAAATCCTCAAAAGTTGTAGGTTCTAGGTGATGCTGGACAATTGTTTGCAGGTAGCGTGCTCTCTCCTCATAACTGGTTTAGCCAAGAATTAAGGAACAATTTACATCATGTACTGTAACTGCTAAATACCAATGCCAAGTAATTCAGAGTTCCTATTTTTGTTAAACACATATTGTATATTTCAGTGACAGTACACACTTAATTTAACTCTACATAATTCTGAGATTATCTGATGCACTGTAGTGATATGAACTGTACAGCACACAAGGTCAATGTGAACCATTATGGTTAAACCATCTCTTTTTCAAGTCTCATACAATACCTTCTGAAAATCTTTTCCAACAGCAATGTAAACATTCTCTTTAAAGTAACCAATTTGGCTGCAGTTTGGTTACAATTAAATACAAAAATCTCACAATTTTTAAGAGAATAGCATGAAAAGTAACAGATGAACATTAACACAATCATTTATTTTGCACTTTTCAATAACAAACTCCTTCCATAATCCCTAAACACACATGCAGTTAAGATAAGTACATAGCTAAATTTGAGTATTGGGAAAAACACCTCATCCATTATGCCATTAAAACAAGCAAGAATATTTGTAAAGAACCTGCAGGACCTTTAAATACTGGCTAACAGGGTGTCGGCAGGGCACTGACAGCAAAATACTGTACTTCTTCCTTTTCACTGCATTCTCCTTCTCTGATATTATTGACAAGAGACCAGTATCTTGAAGTGTTGCTGCTTTTGAAGAACCCTCTCCAGGCTGCTTGTTCCAGCAGGCCTGATTGTGCTGTTAGCACAGAGTGAGCGAGAAAAAGAGAGAATATTTCTGCTGTTCATGAAAGCAACTATGGAAATGGCTGTCAAAATGTAGAGCAGCAGGCAGCAACATACAATTATCAAGAAAAACTCCCATGCTGACTTCATGTCGTATAGTTCCTGAACTGAGAAATCAGTTAACCTTTTCTCTCACAACTTTCCAGGTCCTCTGGCAGGACTCAATACTTTGAATGAGGGAGACCTTCTCAACTTTTCTTACGTAACCATAAAATGATCAGGATTTTTTCCTGGCATTTATGCTTGTGCACATTTTGTTTTCATATTTTATTTGTAGACAGTAAGATCAACTTCCTATTTTTTTTTCCTAGAAAAACAAAAACACAAAACAAAACAAAACCCCCAAAACAGAAAAAAACAAACAAAAACCAAACCAAACCAAACCAAACCAGCATGCTGTGGAGAAATGCATTCAGGATCAGTTCAGGAAGGTTGGAAGTTCTGACTTCAGGTTTGCTGCTCTTTTTTGGGGTGTGGGAGGGGAATCAGTATCTTGCATCCTGCACACATCTTTTTAGCAATTGAAACATGAGAACTGCGTAAGTGACAATTTTTTTTTTTTTTAATACCAAGTGCTAACATTTTAAATAACTAACTATACTGTTTTCAGTAATGATGATCAGTACAATTCTCAGCCTTAAATTACAGCTGGAAACAACAGCCTTCATCTTAGCTATTAAAACTATACCTCAACTGTTACAGAACTTTTCCTATGAAACCTTCTTGTCCTTGTTTTCTGTACAATATTTACAATAGATATTTCAGTACATCTAAATATGAAGGAATGTAAAGAGAATATATTATCTGAAAAAAAACTTTATAGCGAATAACATCATCTTTGTTGTATTTCCTGAGACCATGACTTGCTTACATAGTGAAACTGTGAAACAATTGTCCCTCCAAAATTTGTGTTGCAAATTCCTTCTGGATCCTCAGAGACCTGAAACCCAGCAGAATTCTCAATCTGGAGAAGCTATAACAGAAGCACGGGGACAAGAGAAAATATAAAAAAATCTCCCATTGTAGAGGTTCTTAGGTTGGGGGATAAACACAGTATTGAGCCTTAAGAGAGGAGAGTAATATAGCACAGTTTTTAAGAGGCTATGTATAAGTGGTAGAGGATGAAACTGATGGTTGAAGTCTAAATAATACTACGTATCTCACAACTTGTTGAAAAGCACTTTTTTCATTGGGGGAGATTCACAGCTGCTGAATTTTCTGCAGTTAATAGAGTCCTTTGATTCACAGCAGTGCCCCTTGCACAAAAAATACTGGCCTTTGTGTATTACCAGAAACTAATTTTCTATTTGGCTGAAAAGGGAAAAATGGGGTTATTGCTTCTCCCTCCTACAGAGCTTTTCATTATGCCTGATGCACTCAACTTCTAAGCTCTTCTGAGAAAAAAAAATAACTGAAGAGGCAAGAGGTAGAAAAATGAGCTTGTTAGCACATTAGAAGTGAAGTATCTTGGTGGGCCCTAGAAATTCCCAGTGGTGTGTTAACTTATCACTCTATGCATGCTGGCACTGATAGTCTCCCAATTGATCACTCTCTTTTCGCACCAAAGGTGCTGCCAGGAAGCAAAGGCTGAAGGCCCACAGGAGAACAGGCTGCTATCAAAACAAGCTGTTTTTAAAAGTCTGCTTGAATGGGTAAAATGTTTCTTGAAAAAGTAGGGTGGAGACACCTACCTGCTTTTAAAATGTTCTACTTTCAGAGGTCTCTAAAGGAAACCTTTTAGTTTATCCTATTACATCCAAAGCTTATACACAAATAAGGCAGAAATGAAGGAAAGTTACTACTTTGAATGTGACAAGGACTTTCCCATTCTCCAATCTACGTGCCTATCTCCTAACCAAATAGAGAAGTCTTGACACAGATGCTGACTGAGGAGGATAATGATGTTTTTGTTACACAATGGAGAGGACATGCTTATATCAGTTCTACAAGACGAATTCAAATGCACACTTAGCACACCTGGAGGAAAGTAATTCAGCTAGCCAGGTTACTTTGCGTTTAGCAATCCACAAAACCATCTGCACCAGGTTAATAACAGAACCCCGCTTAAAAAGGAACACAAATCTGAGGCGAAAGCCAAGTCCAAGACTTGCAGCATTCTGCACTAAGAAAGGACACAGTCTCCTCAGAAGAACAGCTCTTCTGTTAGAAACTGAGTAGCTGAGATTTGGCTACTTATATCTTCTATTCACTCAGACTTTAGGAACATTCTAGTATTTTAAACTCCAAATTGTCATGCTTTTGTGGCTGAGATAATCTACTTCCACACTGCACTTGAATGCAACTATCTGCAAGAGTGACCATAATCCCATGGTAGTTAATTTCTACATTACTTCTAATAGGCTGGACATTTATTTCTTTAAAATGCTGCTCTCTAGGGAAGAGTTATTAGCACCTATAAATTGAGTGGCACACACAAACTCAATGGCTAGTAATAATAGGGCAATGCAAGCAGTATTCTTACTGTGAGTGGATGTTGCCACTGGCATCAGCAATTAAGATGGAATGGGAAGGATGCACAGACAAACCAATGGGGAAAGAATCTGGCACAGAGAGTGACTAAATGCATAAACTAACAATGCTCTGAGCTTTCTGCTTCCAAAGAAAATGCTAACCAGAACAAAAGAGAACAGATAAAAAGGTAAGATACCCATTCTTTGTACAGGCACCCACCCAAATCTGTTGGCTAAAAACTTGCTGATGTATAATCCACAAAAAGCAAACCAACAAAATAGAAATCCAAAGATTTGAAGAAATGACTTCGTTATACTTTTCCAGAAGTTACTGTCATGAAAAATATGATCAATACAGTAGAAAAATCAGAAATTGTATCTTTACAGGTCATTCAGGATGTAGTCACTGCAATTAAAATTTCATTTGCATTACAATCCATTTTACTTATTCTCCAAATCTGCAATTATTTCTAATGATTCTGAAAATACTGTACTTTCCATTACTACAGACATGAGATCTTTTTTAGACCTGTTGATTCACATTTGGGAGCAAGCACCAAAATTCTGGCTGTCAGATCACCTACTTGCGCTTAATCTGCCTGATAAACAACAGTTTACGTAATAGCTCTTCATCAGCATTGAGTGTATTACTTTTTTAAACAAAACAAAACAAAACAACAACAAAAACTTAAGGTCTCATTAAATTCCTATGGCAGCATACACCTAAATCTTCAGATTCTTTCTGCATAACCTAAGCTAGAACTTTTCCTAGCAACCTATGCGAACAATTTGTCTAGGGTCCTACCTCACATCTCAGTTGCTGCCCTATGCTTTTTTTTTCCCCTCAATAAACTAATTTTTATCTACCCAGAACAGCTTACGGCCCACGTTCTGAACATCCCACTTAGATGAGGCAGTCTCTTCAAATATCACTATGAATCTGCCATTCCCTACTGCAAACACAAGTTACTTATTTTAACTTTACAGTTGATACCTATTTGGTCCATTTGATCAAAACTACTCTTACCTGCTGTTAACACAACCATTCTCACTCACATGGCATTTTCAGACAGGCACTTCTGTACTTTCTTTCCTTGCCTAGCACCAGGTCTCCATAAATGTCCACAAAACCACCACCCTTTAATCCTCCTCCCTTTGCTATTACATTTATCTAAAAAGAAACAAAGAAAACATCTTGGAAGATTTATATCATCTGTTGGTGTGTAGATCATGCAACTACGCATGCTGATCACTGGTATTTCATATTTCCCTGTATTTTGTATCTGCCTTCTTTTATTGTCTTCATTTTTATATTTAGCTTTTTGACTTCAAACAACAAACATTTATCTTGTCTATATACCATAAAGAGACTCTGGTCTATGGGAAGGGAATATATGTGCCACAATAAAACAAGTGAAATATTTCTCTGTGCTTTTTCATCCATCATCTTTCTCCTTCATATCCAAAACAATTCCTTCAAAGATCCACTTGTTTTTATCCATGAATTTGTCATCTTTCCATTTGATGAGGAAATCTATTTGCTAATTACCCACATCTCTCAATTTGTCTTCAATTTTCCTTTCTTGCAATTTGAACCATGCAAGCTCTATAAGATCCTGTATTGCCCAGCCTCTTCTACTGTCTTCATCTTTAAAGTCCTTACATTGTCCATCTCCTCATAATCATTTTTGTAGAGTTACTGTCTCATTCTGAATACTGGTTTTCTTCCCATTCTTATTTACACCTGTCTAACATCAG